GAAAACTTGAGATAGTACATAAAGGGGTACTGCTGTTACGTGACTAGCATTTTGTTTTTTTTTTTTTGATAGAGAGAGAGTGGTGGTGGTATCTAAACTTATTAAGTGGACTTTGGCAAGGAAAACAGATTATATAACACAGTAGGCAAGTCACATTTCCCCCACTAAACTTTCTGTTACTGAAGTAGACACTTTCTTCTATTGAACTAGCTGTCAACAGAAATTTCTCTTTGAGTAACCTTTAGTCAATACATTGATTGTGGCTTTTAAGAAACAAAACAAAATACAACAACCCACAAAGTGCCGTGAGGTTATTTGGGTAGGTTTTGTTGTTTTGTGCACTGAGTAGCCTGTTCACTAATTCTGGAAAACAGGAATAAAAATATAGCAGTTAGTGTGGAGAGTTCCTATGAGATGTAAAGGTCTCCCAATACAGACTCTAGACCTGGAGTGAATAGGCACCAACCTTAAAGGCCAAGGAAAATACAGCTTGATTTTGCCAAGCTTCAGAAATAAGAATGCGTGGGCCACTGTGGCTGCAGACTGAGGCATGATTTTACTCCTGTGCTCCCCATCCCATTCAGAGCAGGGCATCTGAAAGTTTAAAGGAGAAGAGTAGGGGAAGGAAGAATGTCTGCCCTACTTTTCTCTCCTGTTCTCTGCACACATCCCTTCTTCTGGCTGATTTTTCTCTTCTTTTTCATTCTTCATTCCCCCACCCATTTTCTTACCTGGCCATAATATGGAAACAATATATTTCAAAATATTTATTGAACGAATTATATTTTATGGTCCCTGGTTTTAATCTTAAAAATCAAAAATAGGTTTTACATTTTGTATTCTTCTTCAAAGGGGAGGAAAAAGATACTTTTTACTCCTATGAGGTCCTCAATTGATTTTTTCCTACGTATTAGTGTCTTTCAATAAAAAGGGGGTTTGCTGGTCCTGTCATGGGCTAAGCAAGAGGAAAGAAAGATGCAGTATAGAAATGGCAAGTTTCCTTGTAAGATCTCTGTTGTACTGGAGCAGATCAGCAAGGAAGACGTTTGATGACTTAGATGTCCTAAGAAAGGACAGCAGGCTTATTCATCTTTTCAGGCTCTTCTCAGCTGAGCAATTGCTCATCTTCTCATTGGCAGAACCAGTGGCCCAAAGGCAATATCACATTCTTCGTAAAGAGACAGAAGTACATCAGCAGGAACATCATCCTAGAGAAAGCAGGAACAAGTTCCTCCCAGGCACCACGTTCCTCTGGATGTCAGTGTATAGGACTTAGAGTCACAAGATCTGGGTTCATGCTGTGGCTCTGCTGCAAATGCAGTGTGACTTTGGGCTAGCCACTCTCAGGGATTCAGTTTCTTCATCTGTGAAATGGTCTGAATCCTTGGTTCTTCACCTTTTTTTATGTCATGGCCCCCTTTGGCAGTCTGTAGAAGCCAATGGACCTTCTCAGGATAGTATTATTAAATTAAAAAAAACCACATAGGATTATTATTGAAATGCATTTATTGAAATGCATTTTTCAAAATATTTAAAGAACAAGTTCTTGGACCCTCAGGTTAAGAATCTTTGGTGAATGGCCTTTAAAATGCCTTCCAGTTCTAGCTTTCAGTGATTTTCAACTCCTTCAGAAAGGTTTTTTAAAAAAAAAAAAAAAAAGAGAAAAAAGGGAAAAAAAAGAAAAAAGAAAGGTTTTTTTAAAAAATTTATTTTTAATTTTTAGTGGATAGAGGGTTGGTCTTGAAGTCAGGAAAAACTGGGTTCCAGTCTTCCCTATTAGATTTGTGCAAGTATTTCAACTTCTCAGTGACACCAGAAAACTCTTTGGGTCTGTAAGTTACATACAAGTTGTGAATCTTGCTTCTGTGAAGGAAATTTCTAAAATAGGAATTCTCGTCACAGAAGAAATCATAGTACTAGACTTCTCCCTCTTTTCACATCTCCCCCCCCAAAAGAAATCCAAAAAACAAAAATGCAGAATGAAATATTTAAAATTTAAAGGAAGTAGGACCTTAGAATTTACTAGTCTTATCACCTCATTTTACATTTGAGGAAACTGACTTCCAGAGAGAAGCAGTGATTTGCACAAGGTCACAGAGATCTTAAGTAGCAAAGTTAGATTTTGAACCTACTTTTGAATCACATTTTCTATCATACCTATATTTCAGGTTACATCCATTAGAGAAAATGTATGCTTGGTTATGAAACGCTTCATGAAGCCCAGGGAGAAAATTTCCAAGTTATGGGTTAGCCAAGCATGAAGAGAAAATTGTTCGATTTGGTTTTGGTGGGAGTTGTTTTGTTTTGTTTGGTTTGGTTTTGCTGAGTATCAAGAAGTCAAGAAACTTCTTTAAGCATCAGTAATTCAAATTTGATTCTAAGTTCCTCTACACAAAGGACATGACTTTGGTTCCATTCTGGGAAGGAGATTTAGACCTATATTACTTTGATTTAACATTTCTTTCCCAGCACAAATTCCTGACAGAAAATTAAAAAAAAAAATCCTGACACACACCCCATCCCACCCTCCACCTAAACATCACATTTCTTTTGGTTTTTTGCTTTGATACAGAAAGTCAGCTGCTACCCTGTTTATTTATGTCCTTTCTGAATTTTCTGCTTTTCTCTTCTGTCAATTTTAAAGTTAATTTAAAATTGACTTTTTTTATATTCTTTTTGTGCATCACTTTTACTGCTGACTAACTGTTGTCCACCTACCCTTTCAAATAAAAAGCCTTCCATGTATCATAAATAATGATAAGCAAGTAAAATAAATCAACACACTATCCAAGTCTGAAAATGTTAGTCTTATTTATTAATTTTAGTCAATCACCTTTCTACAAGAGGTGGAAAACACACTTCATTATTAGTCCCCTGTTGTCATATTTACCCATTGCATTCATCTGAAGTCTTTCAAAGTTGTTTACTTCTCCCTCCATCATTATTATAGTCATATAAATTGTTCTGGTTCTGCTCACTTGGTTCTGCATCATTTCATTCAAATCTTCAGTTCTTCTTATTGATTGAACTTATAGTTCAATAATGTTCCATTCTGTCTTATAATTCAATAACATTGCCTTCCATTTTTATGCCATTATTTGCTCAGCCATTCCCTAGTTGAGAGGCACTCATTGCATTTCCAGTTCTTTGTTACTACAAAAAGTGCCCTATGAATGTTTGTGTTCATATGATTCCCCTTTCCCAGTGTCTTGCACTTCTTAGAGCATATACCTAATGGAGGTATTGTTGGGCGACATTTAATTGTATATTGCATTTAAAGTGTAAAGTTTGAGGGGAAGGGAGTTTCAAGGAAGAGAAGAAATTACATAAATAAATCTGATTGTTTGTGAGAAATTGGGAGCCAGATCCTCCCCAAGCAAAGAAGAGAACAGGTTATAATGATGGTGCTGAAAGAGACCGAAGCTGGGCTTCCTGTAGGTTTCCTTAGAGGGAAGATTGTTTCCCTTGTGTTCAGAATGGAATAGTGCAGTACTTTTGTGGGCTGCTTGTTGAATTCAATTCAATTCAATTCAATTCTCATCCCATGCTGTAGGATGTCTTTGAATGCTCATCCTATATTCTAGGACACCATATGGACTTTTGGCCTAATAGATAAATCATACAGACATAGGGCCATTTTGTAGAGAATTTCCTGTGATGGACAGATGATCTTGTTGATGTTGTTGCTGCTGCTGCAGTAAATATTTCCAGAGAGGAGTATTGAAAGAAGCCATGATTCTCACCAAAGCCCAAACAGGCATGTGCCAGTATGCCGCCAAACTCAAAGAGGTCAGGAAGGAGATCTGAGCTGTCAAAGTCACTGACCACTTGGTCCATCTCCTCTCTTTTTGAATTGTTAGGACAATGGTATAATGTTATCATAAGTCTATATCTATACATATGGTTCATCCCAAAGATTACATAGGACCCCTCCTATATAGTTGTTGTTAATTCGGTCATTTCAGTTGTGTTTGACTCTTGGTGTTCTTGGCAGAGATACTGGAGTAGTTTGCTATTTCCTTCTCCAGCTTATTTTACAGGTGAGGAAACTGAGACAAACAGGGTTGAATGACTTGTCCAAGGTCACATGGTAAATGCCTGAAGGTGGATTCAAACTCAGGTTTTTCTGGCTTCAGAGCCAGTGCTCTATCCATTGCGCCACCTAGCTTCCCCTCCTATATAGCAGAAGTTTAATAAATGATTGCCGATTGATTGATTACTGACAAGACTGTGTAAGATAATGGGTATTTCCAGCTGTTGTATGGAACTGACCCAGTCCCATTGGCCTGCTCTAGTCTTCCACAAATTTTATTGAATTTACACTTGCAACCCTTTGCACATGTACATGTGTGAGTCTCCTGTATTCCTCATTCAGAGAATGGTACTTGTGCCATGATCAAAAAAAAAAAGTTTGAGAACCACTGATATATAGAGGCAGTCCTGTAATGCAGGGTGTAACACATTGGCCCTGAAACCAGAAAGACTTGAATTCAGTTCCATCCTCTGACACTCACTAACTGTGTGATCTGAGGCAAGTCACTTAACCTCTGTCTGCCTTAGTTTCCTCATCTGTAAAATAGGGATGATAATAACAAATTCCTCCTGGGGTTGTTGTGAGTTTAAATGAGATAATATTTGTGAAGCAATCTACAAACCTTAAAGCACTATATAAATGCTAGCTATCATTATTATTATTATTATTATTATTATTATTATTATCATCATTAACAATCATTATATTCTCAGGGGAAAACTATTTGATGCCAATGTTCTCCTTTTTTCTTCTCTTTTTTAAAAGGCTCGTTTTATTCTAAACTTAATAGCCACCAATAGAATATTCAAATAAACAAAATGAAATTATTTTTTATGTGAAACTGTAAACCACATTTGCAATTGGTTAAAAAGACATGTATTTTAACTTTGAAGATGATAACAAAAACGTCCTGTTTGCTCTCTTGTCCCTTTCTGATCTCTTTTTCTTCTATGTATTTTTTTTTCAGATTTTGTTGCTGTTACTTTTTTACATGATTGCAGTAAGTCTCAATGTTGATGTTCCAATTCTATTTCTTCACTCTGCATCACTTCATAGACCTCGCCCCATATTTTCATTCTTCATAATTTTCATTTCTTATGGTGCAATTATATTTTGAAGCACAAATTGTTTCTGAATTTTGAAGCACAAATTGTACGAATCAGACCACTATCACTATTTTAGCACAGCAAAGTCTTCTGTTCCTTTTTAGGCAGCATGGTATGATAGATAGAAGGAGCTCTGGCTCTGCAGTTGGAGAGCCTGGGTTCAAATCCCACCTCTGACGCTTACCACCTGCTTGACATTTGAGTGATTCACTTTTCTTCCCTAGGCCTCATTACTAAATTGAGGGGGTTGGATCTGACAGCCTCTAAGATCTCTTTCACCTCTAGATCCATGATCCTGTGATATAGTCTTAGGAGTCAGATCACTGGGTCAAAGAGCCTGACAGTTGAATAGTTTGTTTTTATTGTATATGGTTACATTGCTTTCCAAAAAGATTGCACCAATTCATAGCTCCACCTGCAACATAATAGTGTGCCTGCTTCTCCACAGCCCTGCCAACATTGAATGTCATTATTATCAATATTCACCAATTTAATGGATATAGAGTGGTACCTTAGAGTTGTTTTGGTATCTTTTATCGCTAGAGGGTTTGAACAATGTTTTATGTAGTTGTTAATCATTTGTGTTTCTTTTGAGAACAACCTTTGAGCATTTATCTATGAAGGAATAGATTTTCTTCCAAAAATTTGTGTCAATTTTTTTATGGACTTTGGATGTCAGATTTTTTACTGGAAATATTGATGGCAAAGATTCCCACCCTCCCCCAATCCTTTTTTCCCCTTTTTTATAGAATGGAATGCCAGTATTCCTCTATGTTTAAAATGTCTATTCCTTATTATTTAAAATAATCTGTTCTTTCTATAGCAATACTTCTATTGGCAAAGATTATATATATTAGAGTAGGGGCTCAACCTAGTGTGATGGAATGAGCACAGAAGAGGGGACGTAGGAACACCACGTTCTATCCCTAGTTCTGCCATTAATCAGTTATATGAAGAAACACAAGTGACTTTCCATTTCTGGGTCCCAATTCCCTCATCTGTAAAATGAGAACATTGGACTAGATGAGATCCATGGTCTATTCCAACTCTATTTCTCTGATTCATTAGCTTTAAAACTTGTGATCAGTCAATACCAGGCAATAAAAAAACAAAAAGTAATATGAACAGTGATGTATATGTGCTTGAAAATGCTTTCTTTCATTAGCATGCCCATCCTGACATTTACGTGATCACATAATCTCAGAAGCCTGAAGGACCTCAGAGGCCATGTAGTCTAACCCAAACCTGAGCAAGTGTATCCTTGACAGCACACCCAACATGGAGTCATCTATTCTTTGCTTGAAGACCACTAGCAAAGGGGAACCTCTCTCACTCCTGAAGCAGTCTGTTCTACCTTGGTATAGCTCCTAACTGGGAGGGAGTTTTTCTTTTCCTTTTATAGGACAGAAATCTATCTCTCAACCACTTCTGCCATTTAGCCCATTCTGCCATGCAGGACCAAATAGAACAGAGTCTAGCCCCTCTTCCGCAGAACAAGTGATTATGTCTACCTTAAGCCTTATCTTCTCTAGGCTAAAGAGCCCTAACTCCTTCATCAGTCCCAGCTCTGAGACTTACTAACTCTGTGACCTTGGGCAAGTCACTTAACCTCTATGGAAGTTTCCTCATCTATAAAATGAAAGGGTTGGACTAGATGGCCTCTAAATTGCCTTCTAGCTCTAAAGTTATTTTCCTGTTATTCTAGATGGCTTCTAAGGTCCCTTCAAGGTCTATCTAAACCTGTGATAGTAAGCACTTAATAAATTCTTGTTGATTGATTATTCGCTACTCTGTTATCTTTCCCTTTAGAGGCTCTCCAGACTATTCATATCCTTTTTTAAAATGGTGCACTAGTGCCGAGTGTTGTTTTTGCTGTCAGACACCATCGCTGTATGGTTGGTTTTGCTTAACTGTTGTACTCTGTAACAAGAGAAGATTTCATGGGGGTGGAAAGTTAATGAGGGATTATATCTAGAAATAATAATGATACAAAAATAAAAAATGCCAATCAAACTTAAGTAAAATTAAACAATAAACAAAAAATTTTAATTTGAAAAGTGGTACCCAGAACTGAATATTCTAATCCCTATGTGGTCTGACCTAGGCAGAGTACAGCAGAACTTTGGCCTCTCCAGTCCTGGATGCAAGGTCTCTTTCAAGACTGTTAATAGTCTGGTTGGGGGAGATACTATGCATTTTTGTACATTCAGTAACATAAATATCATTATAAATATTATGCCCAACTTTGGAATATAATTCACTACATAGACTTGTTTGAGACTGATTTACCTACCTAATTAAGTTTTTCTTGGTCTAATATTAAAATCAGTTTGCATTATCTAGGTAAATATCCGCTAATTTCAGGAGAAGAGAGATGGAGGTGGGGGAAGCATATTTCCTTCCTGCTCTCTATTGTTAATTGATGTTAGTCTGCTGTTAAAGCATTCCCTGCTGTTAATCCAAAAGTCGGTGAACCCATCAGGAAGAATTTGTATAAAGCAAGAAAACACCAACAGTATAGAATAAGATGTGAAGGTTAAAATTTTGATTGTCATTTACTAACCAAGCTCATAAGGATCTTGGTTATTATGAGCTGAATTTCTTGAGCGCCATAAACCTGGATCGAGTAGAGAATCCAGGAGGACTCTGGAGGAGGATTTTCTACACTGTGGGTGGGTTTAGGATAGTAGGTCGGTACCATTTCCCCAGATAGAAAAAGAAGATTTAGGTTAACTGTTTCATAAAGAGTTTAACATTTCTTTATGTTGCAGACAATTTTTTTGGCATTTAACTTGCTTCTTTTGAACTTATTAGGGAAGGATCTCCTTGTTAAGCACTTTTTGACCCTCCAAACTTTGATCTGGGTCTCTTATTTCCTACTTGCAAATACAAATTGAACTAATGGTCATTAACTACCTTGTAAGGAAAAAAAAACCTAGATATTTAAAAGGGTAAGTCATTAAAAACCCAGGATGTCCCTGCTGTTAGCACTGTGGGTCAGGCACATCACAGTCAGACATCCTCTCTTTCTCTCACACAGATGAGCAGTTCTTCCTCAAAACAAAAGAAAATTAAGTACACACAGAAAATGAGAAATGATATGTAAAGCCCTTTGGAAACCTTGGAGTATTATATAGATGTTAGTTAATTGTTATTACAAAGTGAGGATTCATAGGATCCAGTCTTACTTTAGAATCCAAAGTGGTCTGTATTTCAGCCTATTTCTGGGATTTAAACCATATAAAATGTATCATTCATTTGATAGCTTCAGCTCTCCCCTAGATAATTTTTCTCCTTGGAATGACCAGTTAGGCTCAGAGGATTCTTATGTCATTAAGTTATTCATTAGATCTTTAACTTCCATGTTCATAACACCTACCAGGGCAGCTGGTGGTGCAGTAGATATATTCTAGAGTCAGGAAAACGTGAGTTCAAATCCATTCTTCAGTACTTACAAACTGTGTGACTCTGGGCAAGTCACCTAACCTCTGTTTGTCTCAGTTTCCTCAACTGTAAAAAGGGTATAATAATAGAACCTACTTTTTAGGGCTGTTGTAAGGATGCAATGAGATAATATTTGTAAAAGTGCTTGGCACATAATAGGTGCTATATAAATGCTTATTCTTTTCCCTTCTCCCCTCTCTCTTCCACACTCCTTCTATAGTGACTGTACTAAATAGTAGCCTACTCATCAAAAAGTCTGAATGTTCCTTTCCAGAGCTATAAATAGATAAGAGCAACCAGGGCTTTGTACCAGAGCACTGAAATTCATGTAATCCTTTTATCTTCTGAACTCTTTGTCAAGTAAACACAACTGAACCCAGCACCTGATCAGATTGAATACATAGTTAAATTGAGAAGCTTCTCAAAGGCAGATGTGTCTTCCTTCAGAACATAGCACCCTGAGCTCCTGGCTCAAACTCACCCTGCCTTCCTCTCCCATTAAAGTCCTACCAGCGATGACCATTAAGGCTAGTGTCCAAGAATTTTCCCCCCAGTGAAGCCATGTCTTAAGGGCCAAGGTCTCTCCCTAAGATTTCTCTCTCTACTTTACCAGTTTAATTGGGCTTAACGAGGTGATTTGGGAATGCCCAACACAACAACTTGTACCACTTTCCCCAGGCACAGATGTCACTTATGAAGGGTCTACCCTTGTGTAGATTGGTGCAGATTCTATTCCCACCCTCAAACTGGTGCCTGCACAGAACAAAATCAAGTAGAAATTACTATGTGATAATAGTTACGTGATAATAATCATTAACAATTCTTTAAAAGATGACAGAACACTTTTACACCTATTATTCAATCATTTGCCAATCCTGTGAAGTAGATGGTAGAAGTCACAAAGCTAGTATGTCTCAGAGCCAGAACTTGAACTCAGGTCTTATTACTCAGTATGATACTCTTTTTACTCCACTATGCTGTATAATTAGATCATTTGGAAACTGTCTGATTCATCTTTAGTTTATGTAGTCAGATTGAATGATTGAGATCCCAAAATATCTCTTTGGCCCAAGTTGTCTAATCTGGCTATGCATGTTTGTGAAATTAAGCAGATCAATTCCTCCAAATCCATAGAACCTTGGTATTGTAAAGGACATAGGAGATAATCTGGTCCAACCCGTACCAATCCACTTTATCCTGCTTGAACTCCCAACTCACTAATAATGTATTGGGGAATGAGTTTCACACTAAGTAGACTCTGCTTTATTTGGATAGGTAACACTGTAACAACAACAACAATAACTAACATTTATGTAGCACATACTATATGCAAGGCACTTGTCCTAATTGGTTTACAATTATTATCTATTTGCTCTTCACAGTAACCCTACAAAGTAAATACGACTATTATCTCCATTTTACAGATAAGGAAACTGAGGCGCACAAAGTC